GCCAGCTCACAGGACTTCATGGCTATGTCCGGGGGTTGGCCGGTTGAAGCACAGACTGCCTCATTATCTCTTACAGACAGACCGACACATGACACACACACACACACACACACACACACACACACACACACACACAGTGCTCGGAAGACAAAAAGGAAAACATCACATAGTGTTGTAGTAGATGTAATGACAATCAATAGAAAACACAATGTTTTACTGTGCTCATTTATTACTGTCTGAACATTTGCACCTTTTCAGTTGTTTAAAATCCAGTTTACAAAACTCAGGTTATAAGGATAATAGAACGTTTATTCAACCATTTGTTTAATAAATAAAGTTTTTTTGTGCCTACTCGTTTCTTTAATATCTTATTTTGCACAGTGCCGTATTTATGTTGTATTTTTAAGTTAATGTCACTTGTTTACACTTTTTATTTTGGGAGTATTAATAGGTACTTTATGTAAGCTATTTATATTGTATTTCATATGTTCAGTTCATTTTTTTGTATTTGTTTCTTTAATTCTTTCTAAGTATTTTGAATGTGCAATTGCTTTATTTAAATAAAAGAATGTCCAAGACAAAGCTATTATGTTTCTTATGAGTATATACACTAGTAGTGGAATTTACTGCGATGCAACGGGGCGCCACCTGAAATCTTGCCTAGGGCGCCAAATTGGTTAGGGCCGGGCCTGCTGTTAAGTTCATTGATGTGTTCATGCAGTGGCCCATGTTCCTTTGGATGACTTTTGTATTTTGTTCAACAGTCTGTATGATTGGGTTTGCTAAGCAACAGTGCTATCTTGCGGTGCTGCAGGGCAACAATTTGTCAGTTTGTAATATTGTTATGTGAGACGCCATCCAAAGGGTTTCATTGCATAAAGCAGCAGTGCGCTAAGTGTAGCCTGCTCGTTTGAAAATACTGCGATTCATTGGCATTGTAAGATTCCCCCCACCCCGAATTACCTTTTGACCCCCAATTTAATCTGTCCTGGCACCAACTCTGATTAAGGGTCACCAGATACCAATCATTTGAAATCTACAGCAAGTACTCACATCTTCAGCACTTGTACCAAACAGGAAATTTACCTCAAGTATGCAGGAGAGACAGATGACAAAAGTTTTACTAATTATGCAGCCAAAATAATCTAGGTGGGTTATTACAGAAACACCTGAGAGGTAAAGTCAGCTCCCCTCATGACAGATACTACCACAGAGGAATATATGACTTCACTTTAACCAGATACACACAAAAAAACAACAACACAAATCCTGGACCACACGTGGAGTCCTCCTTGCTTTCCCCAGCAGCCCTCCTTCAACCATAATTTACTCTAGCTCATCTAAAACACATTCCATCAGTGTGAGGACGCACACCGCCAGTCAGCGACGCTGATGCGTTTACAAAGTAACGTTTCGTTTTTCAAGTGGCGGAGACCATGCAGTTTGAAAGGAGAAAGCACCTCACCTTCCTATTTCATCGCAGTGAGTAGGTTCAGACTTGCAAAGCAGTGGATGAATTTGAGAGCAGCAGCAGAACCACGGGAGCCCCGCAGGTATTCTTCCCGGCTCGCCGCGTCGCTCACCTGGCTGCGCACTGCTGGACGCGCCGCACTGACAGCTGCTAAGACCCGCTCTCTCTCCCTATTTTCTCAGTCACTGCTCCCAGCACCAGAGGCGACCGTGAAGCTCTTCACACTGAGCCCCACAGACCGGAAACTGTGAGACACCGTCTTCAAAATAAACACGAGGTTTAAGTATATGCTACTGTTTGTATGGGCAGGGATCCGGCACCTCATTTACATATGAAACAAACCGAATATATGATCTGGCTGATATACTAGTCTTGATTAATGTTGATGAGTGCGTTATCCACTATTTGATATTCACTGGAGTAGGTCATTCACTCCTCTGATCGTTGACTTGTTTGTAGTTTGTGGTGAAAACAGGGAAATAGGGATTAGGACTTAGAAGCTTAATATTAAAAATGTTTCATTTCAATTTGGCTGTGTTTTAAGGTATTAATTTCACCAAAATGACTGAGATGACTGCGTTGGGACAGAAACAACTAACTGTACAGAATAAGTGACTTTCTGTATTTAAGAAAAAAACAAATGTGGAGTAAGGGTGAAGTTCAGGTTACATTTTTTTGTAGCCAAAATATTTTCATGAGAATAATCTTTGCAACATTTAATGATCGTGAACAAGCTGAGAAGTTGGTACAGACTAATCATTCATGCACAGTAATAGCATTTGATAAGTTCTTGTATGTTTAGTTTGTCCACAATAGATCTAAAGCAATTTGGCATATTATTCTAAAAAGAGAATGAGTAAAAGAAACAAAGTCAGACCCTTAATCCTCACAATCAGAGAGCACATACAATACAGTAGATTGAGTATGTCCACTGGAGGGCAGCACAGTTTCACACATTATTAATTCTGTACTATGACACAAAGCCTAGTGAAGGGAAATGCTCATGCAGTAATATACAATCCTTGCAATTGTTACCTGTGTAAATACTTTGTAAGTTTTACAGATACACAGGGAAAATATCTAAATACTGCCTAACACTTTTTAAATGCTCATTTAATTTAGAACTCGAAGGTTCATTATTGACCATGGAGATAGTGGTTCACCTAACTCTCTGCTGAATTATTATGTTGATCACCCGAACATCATTTTGTCCATCAGTTTGGTTTGGTTATCTGCCATCAGTGCCAGTCGGCAGACAGCGCTTTGCTGAGGGCCCCCTGTTGCTTGGATCTTTTTCAGAATGGGGGGGGGGGGGGTGCGCATAAATCACAGCAAATGTGAAATCATCTCTTTAGCACATATTTCTTCATTAGCAAACACCAGACCTGAGCATAACAAGCCAGTGGAAGGTAAACAAAGTTGAGAGCTCACACAAGATCTTGCGGAGGCGCACTCGACTCTGACTCGTGGTAACTTTAGGAAATTATTATTTTGTCATGAAAAACCATGTCACCCAGTCCATCAGTGTTTCCCTGTTGTGTTTTTGAACAACAGTTGAGGTCGATTGCTCAGACGAACAAACTAATACAGGACTGAGAGCCGACAGACATTAACCATGAGTAGAGGCAACTCATTGGTTTTAGTCTGTGTAAGGAGACTGCTGAAAATATTAATAAGGGTGTGACAATACACTTACTGTACTGAATGCTCCCTCTTTCTCTGCTTCTGTTTGAGTCTCTGTTTTAACCATCCTCTCTGGTTTATGTCTGTCTCTCTCTGACTGTCTTTATCTCCATCTGCCTTTATTACTCTACCTCTCTCACTTTTTCTTTATAGCTGTTTTGTCTTTCTCTGTCCCAGTCTCAGCTGTGTGACTTGTATTTATTATATTGTATTATGTACTGTTGCAGCCCAACCCCAGATGTTTCCCTTTGTGTCATTTTATCACAGGTGGACAGACCCTTTACTTCTGTTTCTGCAAGTCCAACCAGCAGATCCACAACAATAGTGTGCAGCTGGGTAGGTAGCAGCATCGGTCGGTGTTCACCCATCTCACACATCTAACATTTTTATTTTAACACCCACCTATTCGGGATGCTTTTAAGAAGAGCATCAAAAGCTGAGGAGATTTGACATGTCGCCTAGTATCCTTTGCAACTTCTACAGCTGCATCATTGAGAGCATCTTGACCAGCTGCATCACTGTCTGGTACGGCAGCACTACTGCTATGGACCACAAGCGCCTGCAGAGAGTGGTAAAGACTGTGGAGAAGATCACCAGGACTCCACGGAGTCAAACCACCAACTTGCTGGTCAGAAGACGACTGCCCTACCTTGTAAGCCACAGCCACTCCCAGCTGAGGAGTTTATTACCAGGAAATGTGTCATGTACTGTTTACATTCTGTTTGCACATGCATAATTGCACATTGACTGTTGACTACTGCACATGCTGCTCCCATGCAGCATACATTCTCTTATTATATTCTTATATATTTTTTATTATATTGCTGCATTTGCTGCTTAAAGTGCCTTAGATTTTGTGTTACTTATTTATCTACTTTATATTTCACGTGTATTTTGTGGCATTCATGTGGACGGCAAAGTAAGAATTTCATTGTACAGGGAAACACGTTTCCTAACTGTGCATATGATAAATAAACGCATTGACCTTGAAAAGCTAATGAGCTACATCAGCCAGCCTCCTTAATTCCTCATTTCCTTTCTTCATCTTCTGTTTTTCACTGTTCATTTATTTTACATCATTGGATCCAACCTGAAAGAGACCAATGAAAAACCTTCAAAACAGAAACCCAATCCAAGGGCGGGCCTGCCATCAACCTGTGAAGACCTCTCACTCCAACATTCCCCTTTCTCTGTTACTCATCTTATTATTGTTCCTATTACTCTTTACTTTATTACTTTAGTGTGGTTTCACTTCAGGGGCTGTGGGTTTCTCCCAGAGTCAAAACAAGTGAAGATTATGTGAAGTTATATTTGCAATAATAACAATGGTGATAAAGATGCACAAATAAATCATGAAAAGTGAATAACATTTTTTGAAATGAATGAAATCTCTGGATATGCACTTTCATTTAAAAGTGATTTGTGTACTACAGACTGTGTTCAGGCTACTTAGATTAACTGGTGATGCCACAGTACGAGGCTGGGTTTTACGGACACCAAAACAGCCTGTGTGTGCTCATGTTCCAAGCACTGTGGTACATGTGCACTCTGGGCTTTTTGTTGTGCAGACAAGGCCAGTTCATAGTTTTTGCATCTGCATGTCCAAATTAAACTTGTTTTTAACATAAAATTCTTGATGTTATGCCAGTGCCAAATGAATCTTGATGTAGCCACATACAGTAAACAGATATTAACTGTCATATATCTCACACTGCAGATCCATCTCCAGGCCATTTTTAAATTCATGAATAATTTAAGTTACATTTTACAACTGTAAGAAATTTTGCATGGTCTTTTCCCATAATGTACTCAATAGATCTTTTATCTGATCTTCTCTTACTGCTACATCTTTCCAGTGTGGCATCCCCAGTTTTAAAGTCTCTCAAGATAGTTTCTCTGACATATCAAAGTTTTTCTAAAGCCACACAGGACATTAAACAATCATTTTCAAATGCTGAGTAGAAATAGTAGTAATCATGGGGAACTTGCCACTTTATCAACTTGCTTCAAGACACTGACTGGTCTTATACCTCAGTCTTACATAAAATTTGATGACATGCTATTGTCAGTAGAACCAGGTATTGTAGCATTACATTAAAAAAACAAGTCTGTATAAAAATAGCACATTAATTTGACAAATGAATGTCTTCAGTAATTCATCAAGAATGTATTGTCATGTGAGTCCTGCCACAGATTCTTTGCTCACATCCTGGAGGTGAACTCCACTCGTCTGACCAGGGACCTGCTCACCTCGGATACAGAACGACAACCTACACACACACACAAACACACACACACACACAGGTCTGAAAATATGGCAGATAGTTGGGTAGCCTATTTCCAGATGTAGATGAGAGCAGTGGATGAGAGCAGTAATTTCAAACACACTGCAGTGTTCCTGTGTAGATGTGTGTGTGTGTGTGTGTGTGTGTGTGTGTGTGTGTGGGTGTATTACCTGACAGTGCCATCGCCAGTCGCAGTTCCTCTTTCAGAAGTTCCAGAAGCTCAATAACTCCCTGTTCACCCTGGACACACACACACACACACACACACACACAGAGTGGTGAAGTACACAGATCTTTTACTGAAGTAAACCATAACGTAAAAATACTTGGTCCTGCAATCAAAATGTTACTTATGTAAAAGTATAAGAGTAAGTATTATCATCAAAGATATACTTGAAGTACCAAAGGTAAAGGTACTCATTATGCCAGAATGACACATTTCACAGCAGTGTATATAATATCACAATATACTGTAATTATTGATTCATTACTGTATACATCATATTTGATGCAGCAGCTGGTAAAGGTGGACCTAATGTTAACTGCATTATATCCTTATAATTTGAAGAACTTTACCTACTGCTAGGTAGCTTGTGAATTTCTCTCCAGGGATCAATAAAGTCTTATGATTATTTTTGTTATTAATCTGATTCTGAAAAATAACTGCAGTTATCAAATAAATGTAATGGAATCAAAGTACAATATTTGTCTCTAAAATGCAGTGATGTCAAGGTATGAAGCAAGGAAACAACTCAAATCAAGCCAACAATTTCCACCAATTCTGGGTTGGGACTCTTAGACCCCCTCATGATTAAAGCTACTGAAACTGTTGGTGAGTGTGATCCTTTACCTGACAGGCGAGGCCCCACAGCACTGGTCTGCCAATGAAAACAGCCTTTGCTCCTAGAGCTAAGGCCTTCAGGACATCTGTTCCTCGCCTTACTCCTCCATCCATGTAGACATCACAGCGACCCTGCACTGCCTGCACCACCTCCTCCAACACATCCAGCTACACACACACACACAAACACTTACTTTATTGGTCACAGATATTGCCCAGATTATATGAAAAGCTAAACAAAACAAAAAAGAAACCACTGCACAAGAAAGGCTTATTAATTAGAGAGCTGACACTAAGCAATCTGAGGATACTGAGGTACAGTTTACAATGTTAACACAGGAAGAAGCTTTCTGCAGCTGTCTGCACAGGCCAGGAAATTTGCATCTCATAATAAAACCATGGGATTGTTGCTTGGATTTTCTCTGCAAAAAATAAAAATTTTGTTGGAATAAACACTATAAAATGGGACCAGAATCAAATGTCTCACATATAACTGACTAACTGAAAAAAGTGGATTGAACAAGTGGTTCTTTCTAACAACAAAACATTTTATCAGCACTAGCAGTGCCAGGGCAGCAGGATACCAGGAATCAGTGCACTTGGGACTAAGTGTCACATGAGGGGTTTTCTTCATTATAGGAACCTACTGAAACGTGTCGCACCAAGTAACGCTCAACACAGTTTCTGCGTTTGTTTCCACTACACTCGGCCCCTTTAGAGGTGTGCTCCAGGAACTAAATTCCAGTACCCCTCAGGAGGTAGTACTAAAATCAAGTACTGGAAATGTAAGGGGGGGAGGGAGCAGAGCAGTTGCCCGTGATTGGTTAAATGTCTGCACCATGTGTAAACACACAGCTAACTGCATGTGTGAGAGAGGAGCAGCCCCTCCCTCCTCTAAACAAAGACATAAAAAATGCCATATTGTTATGCTATGTGTACTGTATTCATACAATATAATGTTTGATTTTGTGAACAAAGCTCCACCACATCAGAGATGGGCAACACTTTCAGACTCATGATATTTCAGAAAAGGACAATTCACACACAGACCGTGGCTGGAACCCCATCCAGCTGTCGAGCTCCGTGATTGGACACCAAGATGCCGTTGACGCCATAGTTCACAGCCTGGACAGCATCCTCACCTGACCACAAACACAGACACACACTGCCCAACAAGTTCATCTTGAACCAGACAAAGTCAGGCACAGTTATATCATAGTTGCTAAAGGATTTATTTATAGGTTAAAAACAAGTTATTGACTGTTTCAGGTAGAATTTAAGTATTAAACACTGTCTGCTGGTAGCTTGCTTTGATTTCTTTTGTAATAATTTATAGGTTCAAGACTAGGGCAATGTGGGCTACAAGTAAGGCCCCACATGGGCCCCTTTTCAAATGTGTGTTAAGACTTGGAAAGTTTTTAAGCTTTTTGTAAAATTCCAGGGAGGCAAATATCAACAACTACACAACAGTGACACTGATGTTTATCATTTTCTTTGACCTACTCTGTATGACTGCAACTGTTTCTGGGTTATCTGTGTGTGTGTGTGGGTGTGGGTGTGTATACCATTCAGTATTCCTTTCACAATCACAGGTAGGCGTGTGTGTTGTTTCAGCCATGCGATGTCATCCCAGCAGAGAGTGGGGTCTATTGCTTTTGCAACATACACAGCCAAACCACTGTCATTGCCATAGTTTCCCTCCGCAAAAGCCAAGGAAGCTGTTGAGAAGTTAGACAAGCTACACACACACACACACACACACACAGAGATATACAGTGGACAGTTAGAGTTGTATGTCACCATACACTCTGTGGTCTCCATGGCTGAATATGAATGTGGTTCCTACCTCAGGTGTGGGGGCAGTTTAAAGCGGTTGCGCATGTCATCCCACCTCCTCCCCAGGTATGGTGTATCCACAGTAACAAAGATAGCCTTGTAGCCCACTTCCTCTGCACGGCGTACCAACGACAGTGTGAGCTCTCGGTCTTTATAGATGTAAAGCTGCAGCCACAAGACACCCCCAGCGCCCAGTGATGCTGTCATGGCTGACATCACTTCCTCTATAGTGGAGGTGGCCCAGGAGCTCAGCATCATCCCTGTTCCCACTGCTGCACATGCTGGGTACACACATAATACTACTTGTGTTAACGGGTGTTGATCTTGCCCTGACTGTGGGAAGAACTTTGCAAATGTGAACTGTCTGTAACTAAGGGTATGCAACTGTGTTGTACATTCTCAAGTTTCATTCTGTATTATGGTAACCTTTCAATTTTCAACCTTCTTCCTATACTATTCTGTATTGTCCTGTTCCCAAGCATCATTCTCTCATGTTCCAGTCTATATTCAGTTCATTTCAATATTATTCTAGTCTATATTATCATACATGTATGCATGGTCCCTCACTCACTCGCCCACATCGGTACGTCTGTTGATCTCTCTCCTCCTTATGCTCTCACTCATGTCATATGACACACACTGAGCTAACAAGGGACTCAGCCTACTGTTGAAGTAGACTTACTGTAAATGAATTAACTTAATTTGTCAATTTCAGACCTTAACTCTAAAACCAGTGACACAGTTCTCAGGCATCAAGTGGCCTTATTGTTCAGGTGTTTTCAGTGCAACTGCAACACCCACAGTTGGACTCCTGTCTGGGGAACCTTTGTCACACTTCTTTCCCGCCGCCCTTGGTTTCTGTTTCTTTCTAGACTGTCAACTAATAATAAAAATATAATCTAGAAATCCCTCCTAAGTCATAAATACTGTATGTTTTTTACATTAGTGTTGTTCACTGTGATGTTTGAGCCTCTCTGTGCAGAATGAAGTAGTTTGTTTGTTTCATCTGGTGATGATAAAAGCTTCGCTCACCTCCACAATCTACATTTTACACAGGTGGGAGGTGAAACCCATAGCGTCCAGTGCATATTGTACACAAATTTGTCTATACTCCCAAGTTCATACATTGTGTGTGTTTACCTCTTGCTGTAGCTGTTTCTCCCTCAGGATGAGCAATCCTCTGCATTGCTGTGGCTGCAACACAGACAGGCATGCTGAGCTTCTGGCCCAGCACAGACACACGCAGATCCACTGCGGACACATCCCTCAACACCCGAGGAACAAGATACCACCTGCACATGCATGCACACACACACGCACACGCAAATACATATGGTACATGCCATTTAATTTTACTGTGCATAAACTGTAAAACAAAGCAAAAATACAAATGGGCACAACTGAAAACAAAGCACCCTTATTGCACTCCATTATCAGTCAATCAGTGGGATCGTGTTATTTATATAGTGCAGCTGGTAACAGGAACAAACATGAACAGAAAAAACAATTTTAGACTAATGCACATGAGAAATAAAACAATTAAATAAAGAATATATGTAAAGCAATTTAAAAAATAACTATAAAACAATAAAAAAAACATAAAAGAAATAAAACAAATACAAGATGATTAGAAAAAATGTAAGATGGAACAAAACATTTTAAAACCTGAATACAAAACAAAAACTTTGCACTAGATTACAGGTAGTGAGGGTATAAAGTGCAGTTGCCAAAAGGTGTAAGGGATTGTCAGTGATTGCCAATGATCAGTACATCAGCAAAACTGATGGCAGGGGAGATGAGAGGCGTAACACTGACAAAACATTGTGTATTTACAGTTCTTCAGAGAAGCACACATCTCACACCATGCAGATGCATG